GAATTGCTGAGAAACCACATGTTGTGACTAGGGTAAAAAGTAAACTGGCTTTGAAAGAGGGCTGATGATATACAACTTCCAAATGTTTTAATGTGTTCTCCTGTTTGAACCGAAAATTATATTACAACAAGTAAGTGAAAGCACCATTAACCTGAAGTATCAGTTTCACTGTTGCTGATAAAATATCTTGGGCATTTTTTGGCAAAATTACTATTAAAATAGAGTCTTTTTATTTGTTTCATGACATTAAAAAAAAAGCTTTGACATTGTTCGTTAGTCATGTTTAAATAAAGTAATGTGACTTTGTAAATGAAGATGCCAAATCTTAATAGCAAACTGGTAACAACCTGAGGTGCTTTTTGCTTGCCTCCTCAATCTAGGTAGATAATCACTTTTGGACAGTTTATAGTCTTTCTGTACCACAAGATAAACGATGTTCAGATTTTCTACAAGAGAACCACAGTGCTAAAAAGATGTTATTTCATGGTTTTATCTTTAAAATCCAAAACTACTTTTTTTTTTTCTTTGTAATTACAGGAATCAAGGGCTGGTTAACCCCCATTCCTACTTAATTTCATCCTTTCATTAGCATTAAAGGGGTTCTCTTTTCTACATCTCTGATGGCAGCTTTAGTCTTTTTTTTTTTTTTTTTTAAAGGCTTTGGTTTTCTGTCTAATTAGTCTGTAATTTTGTGCTAGCACGGAGAATATATGTGATATTTTCAGACTTGGCACTGTCTAAAATGAATAGCTGGTATTTGAGAAGAGAAGGAAGTACTTTATGACCACTCATAACAAACTTTTCTTCAGCATCCTAAAGATAACAGGAACATTATTTCAATGGCAGTGTTTTCCAGGGGCAGCGAAGGGCAGAAGCTGACCTTCAAGGGGGCAGTGCCTGTGTTTTTTGTTCCCAAATTTCTGCATGTTAAATGTGCTGTCAGTAGATATCACAAGAGAGGGTGGGAGTCACTGCCTTTCCTTTGCAGGCAGCAAATAACAGTAATATGTTGCAGCAACGAAGACACAGGCTGCCAGAAGACCTGAGAACTGGAATATGCTCAGTCACGGATGCTTCTTGCAAGGGGTAGCAGTTCCCAGTTGTGTGCTGTATCAGCCCACGCTTTGAACACGATTACACATGGGCATAATAGACAGTATAGCAACAAAGCACAGCCCTTGTTGTAGTCCATTTTGTAGAGACGAGAGGCATATAGGTACATATGCATTTCTTGGTATGCAAAAATGTTTTATTCTGGAAGAGCATTGACATTACCACTTGTCATATAGAGAGTATTTATGTATAAAAAAAAAGATCTTGTCCTACGTTCTTCAAGAAGGAATGCAGAAAAAAAAATCTGTCTGCACAAATGTGCATTTTGCACATGCCTTAGTGCACAAAGAACAGAATCATGAGGACTATTAGCAATTTTATTACAGTATCATATTATAACATTGCAATAATAATATTGTAACTATTAGTAATACTACTTAGTTGTATACTTTTCTACACCCTTTTGTTCTAGAATAGAAGTAAGCTGGTTAAAATTAATTACAAACAGCAAACCAAATCCCTAACCAAATAGCACCCCCACCAGCCAGAACTGTGAATTCTAGCAATTTTGCCGTTTTCTTCTTCTTGTGAATTTAATACTGCAGATTGCCCTTGCAGAATACAAAATTATTCTTCATGAAGTTTTGGTATAACATTTCTTCTGAACTGCCACGTTTTTTCCAGGTGGGGAGATTGGCCTGATTCCTGCCATTGACGTCTTAACCTTCGTGGTTTCTGATGGTGAGGTTAGCCTAGATGTGAAAGACTGCTGTTATGATGGACCTCTTCCTCCGGTTCCACTTCATGATCTGTTTCCAGTATATGACCTTAACATCACCGTACTTGCAGTGGACAACCAGCCTCCATCAATTACCACTGGTGAAAGCTTCCTCTCACTATAGCAGTTTAGTGTGGGCTATGCAGTACTGTAATGGCCAGAGATTAAGGAGTTTATTTCTGTGTTGGTTTGGTTTTTAGCATTAGAAAGAGTCAGCTGAGATCAGCATACAAAAGTTTTGGATCAGAATTTCCATCAATATGTTTTTTCATTTGCTAGTACAGTGCAACCACCAAATTCAGCTGCAGGTGCAAGTATGAGTAACTGCTTGTGGCTCTTCAGCTGCATGTTTAAATCATGTGGTTAGAGATGAGAGTGCTCAGATCTGCTCCCCTCCATCTATGCATATCCATTACTGCATATGTGTGCTATGTCTGAGTAAAAGTGATGTACATCTTGTCCCTGAACTTAGGTCTTGACAATTGTCAGGTTTATACAATGCAAAAACATAAACATAAACATAATTATCTGTCTACATTTGCGTGTAAAGTATACAACAGAAATTTAGGCTCTGGTCCTTATATGAAGGGAGAGACTCTATTACAACCTCTATTTAATTCTGTTAGTGAATTAAGACACATTTAGGCTATGGACGTGAGACCACATTTTCACTAGTACTCTTCAGGATCTAAAGTACTCAGTTAAAATGGAAACAGCATTGGTACTGTACATTTAGTCCAACAACAGCCCATTGTGTGTCACTTCCATTGACTTCCTGGGCTTTGGATGAGGTTTGTAGTACACATATTAAAAGTATGTTTGCTGTATACTTGTCTTTTTCAATGTCATTTGTCTGTAAGCATCATGTATATGTTATGTTTCTCAGAGTATATTTAAGCATATGTAGGAGTAGTTTTGTAATTTGCAGGCTCTCGCCCAAGTAATGTTCTGGAAATGAAGCATTGTCCCAGCAGGGAAATTAAGCAGCGATGCATGAAAAATCGTTCATTATGAGCGATTCGTAATAGCTCTCATGTAATTAATGCTCTGACAAACAGAAGTAACAACTGATTTTGAGCAGCACATAAACCATACTTAATAACTTACTAGTAAAATAATTTCATGATTCCCTTCCTCTTGACTTACATGACGGCAAAAGTAGAGTTGATAGTGTAAGCAGAGGAAGAAAGCCTAAAGCAAAACCCCTCAGTAACTCAGTATTTGCTGTCTTTCCCCCTCTTCATTATTATTACCATTCTTGTTAAGAAAAAAACAGTAAAATGAGCTAAACAAGCAATAATGATTATCATATTGTTTGTGTGCAGGTGCAAGGTTTGTGGTGGAGGAGGGCTCCTCAGCAGCCCTTACCACCAGCCACTTGTTTGCCACTGACCCTGACACCACGGCAGATGACTTAGAGTTTGTCTTGGTTTCTCCTCCTCAGTTTGGTTACATTGAAAATGTACTGCCTTCTCCTGGGTATGAGAAGAGCAACGTTGGCATAAGTATAGGTGAGTCTTAACCACATACGGTCATCAAGCCGATGAAATGCTTGTGGAAGGCTGTGCGGTGGGCTCTGGAGTGGGCTCTGGTGAAGTAGCTGCAGGTGTGTGCATTGATATGGGCTTATTGAGGAAGGCAGGTGCTGGCAAGTGAAGAGCAGCGGGACTGGGTGGGAGGAGTTCAAAGGGATGCTGCAGCTCTGCAAATGTGAAGAATTGGCACTGGAAGTAAACAAGCCAATGCTTGTTTCAGGCATTCCAGCTGCAATCTATTAGAAGTGGTGATATGAGACATTAATCTGCTCTCTCCACCTCCCCCTTTACTCTCCTATGCAAGGCTCCTGCACTTCCCTTCACCTATAATTCTGACAATTAAACACTGTAGCTGAGGATTTGAACAGCCTGAGTCTCATGTTAGTTTCCAAGGCAAATTTACAAAAGTGATGGAAATGGTGGTTGACTTGGGTCTCTTCCGCTGCCCACCTTCAAGCATTTTAAGGCAGTTTTGTCCCCAGCAGAACAGATTGTGGCATGCTCTGTAATGCTATCAGCTTTTACCACTATCTTCAGCTGAACACCCAGAGTCGCTGAGCACTTTGTTCCCCATTTTCCTGGTCTGTCCGTCAAATAACTATCAACGTACCTACTTAGACCTCAGATCTTCTCCTGCTTGTTATTCGAGTCTTTTTATTTGGCCATATTTCTGCAGACTGAACTGAGAAGTATGAAGTTGCACAGTCCCACAAGAAGCAGCAGGATGCATATTAGTTTCAGGAGAAGGGCATGTGTCCTGCGGTAACATGTGCAGTGAAACTCTTTCAGCCAAAAAATGACTGAGAACTTATAGAATCCACTTTATTTGTTCTTTGAACAAAGACATAGTTCCAGATTTTTTTATGATGTGTTAAGACCAGAAGGCAGGAAAAGATTGTGCTAACTCATCTCTTTAAAACCTCTAGCTTCATTTCAGCTGAAGAACCTGAAGGCCCTGAACATAAACTATGTACAAGCCAGGCACATGGGAATGGAGCCAACAGCAGACCGCTTTGTACTTTATGTCACTGATGGGCTGCATCGCTCAGCAGAGACTCCATTTTTTGTGTTGATCAACCCAACCAATGATGAAGTCCCAGAATTCATAGCAAGGAATATTACCGTAAGAAAAAAAAAATAAAAAAGCTTCTCATAGAGTTATTTTATACCTGAAAAGACGCTGTAATATAAGTAAGAACATTGTTCTGACACCTGTTCCTCTGCATCTTTCCCTTTGTGTAGTTCAGCCTAGTTCAGGAAACAGCTCAGTTAAATCCCACGTAAACCTGTAAGACAGAGCTTCAGTGGGACTAGAGCAGTGCACAGCTCTGTTTGGTAACTTGCAGTTAAGAGAAAAAACAGTTCAAATCTTTAAACAAGTAAGTGGAGTAGAGAGCAGAAAGGGCTTTATGCCTATTCTGGTTTCTTAAAAGCTTTTATAATCTTTTTGTAGAGTTTTTTTATGTTCCTGGCATAGCCTCTCCCCTCTCCAAAGACTGCTTTTAATATAAATAGTAATTCTGTGACCACTGCACTAGGGCAGTGTAATCTTATCTTACTGTAAAATAAAAAGTGCATGTATTTGTACAAATTTATTTGCATCCATATTTTTATATATATTTATGTATTTAAAGGCTTTCTCCTCTGTGCATTCCCTAGCACTTAATGTGAAGTTTACTTACCTAACAGCTTTTCTAATAATTGAGGCAGATACGACCTCCTTATCTCATCTTCTCTTTTCATCACTGTAACCATTTACTCCTCTGTGCCTCTTAAACTGGTTGAAAACAGTAGCAGCAGCTACTGGCCAAGAGGTGGAGGAAACCGAGAGATACACTCATACACCAAAACACCTTTCTTAGGAAATCACGCTAAAATTATATTATTTCTTTTTGTGTAAAAGAATTGGACATTTTTTTCTTTTCTGTTCAGGTTCAAGAGGGGGAGATGAAAGAGCTGGATCTTTCTGTTATCAATGCAGTTGATCTGGACGTGCCTCAAGACCGTCTGGTATTCGGAGTTGTGCAGAGGCCCTGGTATGGGTTCCTTATTAATGGAATCCATGGAAATGATATTCTACATTATAAAAAGCTAATTAACCACGACCACCACAGCCATGGGTTGCTTGTTCAGGACTTTTCCATGGAGCTACTGAAGAATGGTAGGTGCAGAATTCTTCTGACATTGGTCTCTTATTCCTTTTATGAGGCAAGGTGGCACACAAGAAACCTTCACCTTTTATTTATTCACTTGCCTTATGTGTGTTTCCAAGACAATGTTTAGGAATAGAAGTTAACCTATTTAATGCTAATGTCTATTGATTTTAGGAACTGTCAATAAAATCAGCCTGAGAGGCCTACGTGTCAGAAAGGGTAGTAATGTGACTAGAGAGGCTGTCTGCTCTAAAAAAATACAGGGACTACTGTAACATATCAGCAAACAGATTTTAAAATGTTTGACAGCACCTAGAATAGAGACAAAGAGACTGATTTAAAAATGCATTAACTGATCATGGGGTTAAATATTGCTCTAAATGATCACATAATCATAGAATGATAGAAGGTTTGAGTTGGAAGGGACCTTTAAGGATCATCTAGTCCAACTCACTTGCCACGGGCAAGGTTAACTTTCACTACATCAGGTTGCTCAAAGCCCTGTCCAGCCCAACCTTGAACACTTCCAGGGATGGGGCATCCACAATTTCTCTGGGCAACCTCTTCCAGTGTTTCACCACCCTTATTGTAAAACATTTCTTCCCTATATTCAATCTAAACCTACCCTCTTTCAGTTTAAAACCCTTGACCCTTGTCCTGTCCCTCCAGGCATTGGTAAAAAGTCTCTCTCCATCTTTCCTGTAAGCCTCCTTCACAAATTGAAAGGCTGTGATATGTACCTTCATCATACCTAATGATGAAGATATGAACGGGGGCTCTATCGCTTTGCGTGATCAGTTAACCTGCTTTGAAGCAGACTGTGGCCATTTAGTGAAACATGGGATCTGCCAATATAAAGAGGGCTATGAATCCTGCCACTCAGGTTGCAGTTCAGTCTTCCAAACCTGTGGAAAGATTCTTCTTCTCTCTGCCGGTCTAATATGAACCTTCAGAAATATCATGTCCCCATCTCAAATTCTTCAGCCTTCTCAAGTTGTGTTTTTGACCCTCTTCCAATTGCTTGGCTTTTCTCTTTTCCCGTCCACAATGGTGACTGAGCCAGCTCCAGCTGCAGCCCAGATCTACTGATTGTCCATGATCTTAGCTACACAGCCAGGTGCCCTCCCCAAGGTTTATTTAAAGTTCCCTGAGGATTATTTAAAGCACAGAAAAGTGCTGCCTGATAGTCTCACCCTTTCTATGGTACCTGTTAAAATGACTTGGAATGAGGAGAGGAGAAGAAATGTGCCTTTTTCAGACCAACAGGAATTCTTTTATGAAGGGAGTCACTCCTTAAACCAGGTCAGGCTTGTGTCTCTGACTGTTGTCAGATTAATGAAGAGCAGTAGCTCACTAAGCTCATCTGCTGGTAGCTGAAACAAGCTTGTTGTGACCAGGGCATGTGGGGAGGGGAGATGGAAGAGGGGTGGTGGAAGCAGAGTGAAATGATGTGAGAGATGTTGCAGAGTCAGATTTATTTGTTCTTTCCATTTTTTTTCTCTCTCTCTCTTCCTCCCTCCCCCCTGCTTTTTCTTCTCCCTCCCCCCACATAGGAATGAAGCTGATGTACATGCATGATAATTCGGAAAACCTCACGGACAGCTTTAAAATCCAGCTATCTGATGGGAAACATACAGTCCTCAGAACCATTTCAGTAAAGGTCATTCCAGTTAATGATGAGAAACCAGTGCTGAGCAAGTAAGCCACATGTTCCTGTCTCTGACAGAGGGATGATTTCAAAGAAAATGATCCAAAAGTGATCAAAACAGCAGATCGGTAACTGATGGGGAGAGGATGCCGTAACTAGTCACAGACTAATGTCAACACAGATGTTTCCATGTGGGTCTCTATTAACCTGTTTAACAAAAACTTTTTTTAGCAAAAGAAGGGCATGCTTTAGTGTTGCTCAATATTAAAAGAACAGAGAAAAAAAAAAAGGGGGACATGCTTGTTCTGTCTTTCACAACTTACTTCAAGATGTTTGCCAGAGAGCCCTGATCTTTGCACACCTCCACTGGCCACTGACCACTATGATATTGACTGCAGTTACTTTGCTTTCCCCTTCCCTGGGGCAACCACCTGTCTAAAACACCTCTCTGAAAGCAGCTCTGGAGTTTGGCATGAGAGAACCCACAAAGTTGATGCCCCCTTGCCTCATGGGGAAAAGCCTTTCAGCTTAATGATTGTCTTCTTTTCTGTTATAAAACTCTATTGCACAGCCAAAATTCAACTTCTGAAAAGGTACGTGCTAACTTCCCTTACAGTTCAAAAGTAGGAGTCATAAAAGAATTAGATGTGGTCAGAAATTGCCTGACAGACGATTTGCAGATAGGTGGCTGGCTGTGAGAGAGCTGAACCTCCTGACATTTTAACAAGGAGCTCATCTCTCTGGATCCTCATTCTTCAGCTGATGACCTGCCACAGAGCATCAGGGCTTCCGACCTCCTGGCTGCTTTCCAGCTCCAGGTAGGCAGACGGGGAGCTGGGAGCACGAAGGCTTTGGGAGTATAGCTCCGAACCTCGAATGTTTGTATTTCAGGAATGACTCACAGCCTGTTAAGCAGGCTGCCACTAAAGAGGGAATTTCTGATCCCTCAGGATGTTTGGTCTACCTTCAGATCAGACCTACATTTCCCCTTGCAGAGGATTTTGAATGTTTTGTTTACCATGTAGTTTCCTGCATTAACAAATGTTAGTTTTATAATTGAAAAATTATCAAGGACCACATAATGCTAACGGGAGAAAAAGTCCTTTTCTAGTTAGAGTAAAGAGTATAGTTTATGCATTAATATCATGTACTGACAATTACTGATAATTGCCTGTTTGTTCCTCACATGGTAAGGATTGATATGTCATTTTCCAAGCTTTCTCTCTGAAGGAAGGTGATGGAGTGTAAGAAGTCAGGTGTTTTTAGCTTTGCCCGGCTGGATCCAGAAAGTGTTACTGCCTTGTCTGGCAATGTTAGATCTCAGCATTTGCCATTTGTGGTGAATAGTAGCACGTAGCGAGCCATCTACTTGAAAAATAGCATTATCACTTCTTGCCTGTTACTCTACCACCAAGATGCAGTATGCTGCCAGCTGTTAAGCAGCAGTGCTTTAAGGTAACTTGTTCAGTCTGGAATTGGAGTGGTTTAGCTGCCACGTTCAGTCATTACATTTCTGCTGTGGGGTAAGAGCTACTTTATGCCACTGCAGTGTTTTGCAAGTGGACACCTGCCAATACCTGTAAGCTTTCTCTCACCTTTTGATCTAGGGGTACCTTTCCACCCCAGGGAGTTACAGCTTTCGTCTCTGTTAGCTATGGTCAACAGACTGAAGAATCTGGGATGGGATGTTTTTGGCTGGCAAACAGTGACTCTTATTCACAGTGATTGCCAAAACCTCAATCTGGCACCTCTTGGATTTCTTCCTGTAGAAAGGATCGCCCTTGGGGAATGCAAGGCCCTTGCACATTCCCCTTGAAAGCTTCAAGATGAGTCATATGGGCGCTAGGATTTAACCAAATAACTGCTAGGCAGAAAAATTAGTTGGGATTAGACAGCATTCAGGATGTAGTTGAAAGTGTGTATCTTCATTTATTTTTTTTTGTCTGAATCTTCTCTTCCTGGTTTATACAGTCTTTGGGTCAGGCACTTGGTCTTTCTGTTTGTGTAGTCCCAGCATGTTTATGAGCAAATCATTAATGTTGCTTGATCTATCATTAATACGACTTTGATATACTTTGTCATATGACTCCATTTTCTTTGCTTCTCATTTTGCCAAACATGACATTTCTATGTCTCATATCCATATTGGTTTGAATATAAAACTTCAGGGAAAAAAATATCCATTCTTCCTGAGAATAATAAATATATTTTCCAAAATCACTAAATAATAGTGACAATTTCTTCTTTGGAAATCTCAGTCATCACTTGGCTTTGGAGCAAGCACCTGCAGCTTGGCAAAGGGCTGTTACATGAAGAACGTGTCTTTAGCAATTCTTGTAAAAATTCTATCTGTATTTGGCCTTTGAAATAGCATGGTTTGCACATGCTCAGTTGTGTCCAGCCAGTTTAGCTGCCCAAGTGCCTAAGGAGTCTGTCCTTTTCCAACTTGCTGCATGGCCCCTGGGCAGATTAGCTAGAGCAGGTCCCATCCCTGGACTGACTGAATATGCTGAATCCCCTCCAACCTCCTTGAAACTTTTGTATAGTCTAATAATATTATTTGGGTGCTACATAGCAAAAATGTAAGACAGCTTACGCAAAATGATAAAGCAGGATGTGCAGAGGCAAACTGGAGGATGGTTACTAGCTGAGAATGGAAGCAGAGAAGACACAATCTGAGAATCACCCTGGAACAAGACTCTGCATGAATTTCAAACTATGTGGTGTGGGTTTTTTTCTCCAGAACTGCCTCAAATTTTATTTGTGACTAGCAATGGCCATTTCTGCCAAGGAACAGATGGCCTTAACCTACTTTTCTGAATTAAGAACCAAGGAAAATTCTGCAATGGGGAGCATATAGAAGAGGCCAGTTAGGTCTTCATAGTGTCTTTTAAAGATTAAGGTGAGCAGTGACAGACTAGTAATTTAAAAAATAGTCTTTTCTCTAATGCACAATCAGGTCATTAGAGCCAGTATTGCTATGGTCTATAGTAGCAATAACAGATAATACAACCTATTTGTTTACTCTGTCCTCTTCTTATAAACTGTATTAAGGTAAGCAGAATAGGGCCCAGAGGAAGAAGACAGCTGCGATAAATCCCAGGTTTTGCAGATATCTGCTTTCTTGGTTTTCACCATTGTAAAGACAAGCTGGTCTACCTTGTTTGCTTTTTTTTGATTCTGTTTTGAACTGAAATAGGAACCCTCCTTCCATTCTTTCTGCAGTTGTCATTTCTGTCAGCATCTGAGTATTCCATACTCCTGGCAGAGAAATTATGTATTGGAAAGGTTACTTTTCTTTCATTGCATCAATACATGACTTAATTTTTGCAGGAAGAATGATATAGAGGTGAACATGGGTGAAACTCGTATCATTTCTAGTGCCATTCTGTCAGCGGAAGATAAAGATACTCCCAGGGAGAGAATTTACTACTTATTTGAAAGACTTCCAGAAAATGGTCAGCTTCAGCTCAAGGTTAGTCTTTGAACTTGAACAAAAAGCATGCATGCAAAGAACTCACTCTCTTCAGGGTAGAATGAGGTTCATCTTCCTTTTCTTCAAAATGTCTGTCATGTTTTGAAGTAGATGGATGTGGCCAGTTTGATTGTTGAAAGGGCGTTTGAACCAAACAATGATGCTGTCCCAGAGGCTTTGACACTGACGGCCAGATCCTCAACAGGAGGAGAGGTAGGGTGAAAAGCATGGCAGATCATCTGAGATGACAATGTAGAGAGATACTGGGAGAATCAGTCCACAGAGGGGGAAAACCAAGCGTCAAAGCTAGGAGGAGGTGTTGGGGAAGCACTTGATCAAGAAAAAGTGACAAGCCATTACTTCTGTTACTTCAGGGTTCAGAAAGAATAGAGGGAGACGTGTGTGAAAGAGTGACTAACGAATCATGAGTTAGAAGAAAAGAATAGGGGAAGGAAGGCAAGAAAAGGAAGATGATGGGAAGGATATAGCAAGAGGAAAGGCAGAAAATAAGATTAGAAATGGAAGGAAAGATAACTGTCTATTGACCAAAGATAAACCACAGGAACAAAGATAGAAAAAATGCCTCTCTTTAATTGCATGACATATAATAGAAAAAAAAAAAATTCTAAGACCTGCGAGCCTGGAAAGTATTTTGATGCTGGATCCCTGTGAGAATCTGTTGGTCACGTGAGACTTGTGAATTAAAGGGGTCCTACACACTGGGGTGAGAAACAGCTGCTGACTGTCTGACAGTTTGAACTTGTAGGGTATGCACGTGTATTTGAGCTTTCTGTCCTTGATAACCTTTACTTCAAATCTAGTGACACTGTTACTGCAGGCTAAATGTCAAATACACAGATCAGTCCAATATAGGGTACTACACTATCTTCAGAAAAGCAGGAAATTTTATTGGGCCATTCACATTTTTCCATTAGAGGACCTCTGGGGCTTTAAACTTCTGTGCTTCCCTGAAGTTTCCCATAGGTTCATTCCTAATATTCCTTTAGGTATGATTTCAGATAGAACCAAGAGCAGCTTTGTTAAATTAAAAAGTAGAAAACCTAAGCTGGGTCAAGAACCATTTCATTTTCATCTTCTCGGTGTCTCATTGAGAAGTGTGCAGAAATGTATTTCCTGGAGTAAAAGTGGCTAAACTCCATTTGCTCCATTTTATTTATGATCACTGTATTTTCTCCAGCTTTACAGTTGCTTGGGAGCAACTCTAGCTATTTATTGCCCTTCAAAACATACCATGAGGAAAGAGTCTACAGCTTAGAAGGGAAGCCAGGGAGCTGCCACTAACAGTCTGCATAACTGCAAAGACACACAATTAACTTGGGATGATGCATGGGAGACTATCTGTTTAGTAAAGGATGTTTATTCTTTCTAGGTAGGCCAAGGCTGGATGACTCTCCAAACTGGAATGAAGTGCACTCAGGAAGAACTGGATATGAACCTTGTGAGATATGTCCATACAGGAGCTGTAGGGTCCAAGAACCAAGACAGCTTCACATTTTATCTGTGGGATGGGTACAACAGATCCCCAGCTGTGGACTTCTACATAAATATCAAGGACATGGAAAAGGGTAAAGATCTGCCAGACTTGATGTTGTACAGTACCTGTTTCTGAAAAAAAGATCACCTGAGTACGTGTTCTAATCCTTTCCCTGAGCATTATATAGGCCCTTGGCAAATCTCCCTGCAGATCCCAAAAGCCTGTCTGCTTGGATTTCACTGCTGGCCAGAGCTCTGATGGTTCTGCTGGTGAAGAAGTGGTCCTGGGTTTTGAAAAGGCTCTACCTAAGGCAATGTGTTGCACCTTGCCTCCCAGGACTCCCAGCTACTTTTCAAATAGAGTTGAAAATATCCTTTTGAAATTAACTTAGTGTCTGAGTAAATCAAAGCAGAGAAAAACGGCAAGAAGGTGACAAGGTAGGCAAAACACTGCTCAAGAACAGCTCTGTCTCCCAGGTTTGTGCTCTAGTCTTACAGTCTCTCTTCCTTTACTGCATTCCTATTAGAAACCTAAATTAGACCAATTTGACACTGCTAAGACTGGAACAAGTTTTCAGAGAAGTCGTGCTGTCTCCATCCTTGGCAGTTTTCAAGCCCCGATAGGATAAAGCCCTGAGCAACCTGGTTATGGCTGATCTCATGGCTGACCCTGCTTTGAGCAGAAGGTTGGACTAGAGACATCCTGAAGTTCCTTCCAGTCTGAATTTCCCTATAATACTACAGTCCTATGATTTTTCTACTGGTGATGGCTTGCATGCGGCTAAATAAAGCATAGAAGATCAACTTACCATTCAATATGACTATTTTAGTGTTGTTTTGTCTATCTGGCAGGAGATATTGGTGTTTTCATGAAACCTCTTAGAGTGACGAAAGGGGACCAGGGCTGCATTACGACTGATGTCCTCCTTGCAGTGGATGGTACTGACAAGCCAGAGGAGCTCCTCTATGTGATAACATCCCCACCCCAGTATGGACAAATAGAGTACGTCAGCTATCCTGGCATCCCCATTACGAGCTTCAGTCAAATGGATATAGCAAGGCAGATAGTCTGCTATGTTCACAACACAAAGGCAGTTGTTCCTGAAGACACATTCAGGTAAGGCATAACTCTCCACTCGCCAAACTTTTCCCCTTGGGTTTCTTGAATATTTAAAAAAGACCCACAACACAAAGCAAACAAAAAATCCCATCCAAACCAAATTAATAAAAAGAGGTGGAAGCTCTGTGGGAATTCTTGATATTTGTATAGCAAAGATACTTCTACTATAATACATGTAGTTGTGACTGCTTTGGTAATAAACGCATTTTCTAGTTGGTGCAGAAACTGTAGCCAGAGCCACAGCTTCAATTATTATAGCACCCAAAGACACATAGCTGTTAAGATTTAAGTAAGGGAGAAGGACTAAGAATGTACTTTGTGGAATATTTCTTTGGTTTCTTGCTACAGCTGGATATGACAAAACCAGTCCACATAGGTATTACATAACTGCTTTCTTGTCTATTCTTATTCATCATATTCATTCGGTTCCAGGCTTTTTGAATCCATAATTAGTTCTTGTACACACTGAAAACCAGTGCACTTACCTATTCTGACACCACAATAGTTAAGAAATTCATGTAGACAATTGGATTTTTTGGGTAAACCGTGTTATCTATAGGCTCAGTTCAGCCTAGTGATATTTAATTTACTTCCACCTGGTTCTGAACCTTCTCCTTAGACCAGCTAAGACTAGGTGCCCTCCTAAAGTGAATATTTCCTTATTTTGTTTTTAAATGACCCTCTTTTGGTTGTAGACTGGAATGATGTAATGAGTTATCAGGTAAAGACTGAGTAGATGTATTGTTGCTCAAAGTCTCGGGGACAGTTTTGTAAAAGAGTAAACTCAAGGATAAAAAAAAAAGCTCAGAAATAAGGAAAATGTTTCTAAGGGAAGAACGCTAACTTCTTGCTAGCATTGGCAATTTCCTCTGAAAAAACCTTTTGACAGAAAATGGACTTTCTGTAAAATTCAATTTTCCAGACAAAAATAAAACCTTACAATTTTTTTTCATTTGTGACTAAGAAAAATGAAGGATTTAGCTCCTAAAAGTTGCAATTCAGAAAAGAACTCTTTTCACACTCTCTTATGAATAGATTCCTGATCCGAATGGCATTTTCCATGATGCATGATAAAGATTCAAGGACACGTTACGCCATCCAGTTTGAGAGCTTTTTTGCAGGGAAGTCAAGCAAGTGGGGTGTGGAGACATCAAATAAACCTCCCTATGACACCGAGGCAGCTCAGGTGACATCATCTAGAGTTAAGGCAAAAGTAATTTGGGGACTTTCCTCAGCTGGCACATTTTAAACTATCCTTTCCTTTAAATTCAATGTGGTGGAAATTCTAGTTAGGAGATTTGTCTGGTCCACTTGTAGTCATAACAGAAAAAAGGTCACAAATATTCTCTAGCTTCATGTTTCCCAATTGTGAAACACAACGACCAAAACTAGGGCTAGCTTAGACAAGTAAGGTTGCAGTCATGCCAACACTAGGTTGGGCAGTGTGTGAGTGGCTTGCATCAGTATGACTTCTATACCACGCTAATGGAAGCAGACCAAACAATTCTAGGGAAACCGTGCATGTGGATAAATCCCATGTCTTATGTTCAAGGCCAACAGATAGGAACCACACTAGAAAGCCACCCTTATAAAACTAAGGTTATGAGGCTTTAATAAATATTGATATTCAATAACTATTTTAATCACAATGATTGATGTTCCTTGATGTTATAATTCAGAAAAGAATTTGGTTTTATGTAGACATATAAATATCATGGCAGAAATTATTATTTAAACAAGAAATGGTTACATTAATTACATGCGTAATTATGTTGGGGAGGGGGGCATTAACTGATCAGATTTTTATTTTCCACTGAAGTACTTCCTTCAGACATAAATTTGCCTGTATTGTTTGGTGCTGCTGGCCTGGAAGAAAGATTTGGCAGTGCTTGTTTGGACAGATGACTTCAAGAGATTAGCAACCTGACATCAGATGCTGGCAGCAGGATACTAAAAGAACATGCTAATGTCCTCCATTTTGACACACTGGCTTGATTTTGTAATAAGCTGGCACTATTTATGATTCCATTTTTATCTTTTAAATGCCATGACAGATGGCAGGTCCTACAGCCAACTCTGTTGCCATCAAACTGCAGAAAGCATGAAATGTTGGTAATGGTGAAATCAAACCATGCAACATGTCCTCCTAACTGTCCCCTAAATTTCATCAGAGTGAGGAGAATATTGGCTGCTCTCCATTCCTAAGGAAAAGATGAAGCAGCCATAAACCAGAAATAAACAACCAACATCTCCCAAAGTGCAGAAAAAAGGATGTCTTGGACAGAGGCTGCTTCATCACCTGTGAAATCAAGTGGCGTACGACATTTGCATCATAAATTTCAGTCTGCTGTGTATAACCAGGAGGTTTGTTCCTATTTGGTATCCTGTAGAAGACTGGATGAATCTTCAGTTTCATGAACTGAACTATCTAAGTCTTTCACTTAAATATTGTTTGAGGCTTCATCCCAATGATTTTACAGCCATAAAAAGAACCAGAGGAAACTCACTTCTGCTGCAATCTTCCAGACTTCTTGAGAGATCGTTAAGGTCTTGACTGAACATGTTTTGCCTTTTTTTTTTTTCCTTAGCATAGTATTTATCACCACTATTCTAGTGCTGTATTTGATTTCAGCTAGATTACTAATAGTACAACCCTTTTACCATTGGCACAACAGCATTAGGTCAGTGCAGACAGATGTCTCTACGTTCCCAGATGGGAATACCATCCTCAGTAAACATATTTCTAACTGCTATATAGTCCCTGGTCTGTCTATGCTCATTCCCATCTGTTTCATGGCATACTGCCAGCTTACAAGTTGATCAAGCCCTAATCATCCAGCATTGGTGAAGGCAGTCAGGAGTTTTAGATGAACGGTCTGTGTGACAGTAAGCTACTTCATGACCTACTGAAGGTCACTTACGTTCAAGGCAAGCAACAATAGGCCAGGTTCTGACCCTGTAATTATTTAAATACTTGTTTGAGGTCTGCAGTCAAGAAAGCAAGAGGAGATAATCCAAATGTTAACCAGTCCCCATTTTACTTATGTACAGTAGAAGCATGATAGCTCATATTATCTGAAACAATCATCCCATGATACTATCCCATACCAGATCAACAGTGTAAGTGTAACTGTATGTCCATTCAAAGTGGTGGGCATTGGAGAGTGGGAGAAAAAGGAAGGTCAGGGAATCTGAATAGTTTACCACACTCAAATTTCTTTGCAAAGCAGATGCTGTTCTGGCTCAGGCAGAACAAACCTGAAAACCACTCTCCAAGATACTTTTGCATGTACTATGCAGCATAACCACAGAAGCTTCTGTAGAAAGAAAGGTAAGTTTTATGAACCGTATGGTGATGGGACACGAAGGATTGTGAGACATTTTCAAAGAAATTTTTAGTTTGTGAGGTGCTGAAGTGTGTCCAAAGAAGGGCAACAAATCTGGTGAAGGGTCCAGAGCCCAAGTCTCATGAGGAGCAGCTGAGGGAACTGGGGTTGTTTAGCCTGGAGAGAAGGAGGCTGAAGAGAGACCTCTACAACTACCTGAAAGGAGGTTGTAGCAAGGTGGCTGTCGGTCTCTTCTCCCAAGTAACAAGAGATTGGACAAGATGAAATGGTCTCAAGTTGCACCAGGAGTGGTTTAGATTAGATATTAGGAAAAATTTCTTTACCAAAAGGGTTGTCAAGCATTGGAACAGGCTGCCCAGGGCAGAGGTTGAGTCACCATCCCTTGAGATATTTAAAAGTTGTGTGGATGTGGCACCTAGGGACACGATTTAGTGGTGGACTTGGCAGTGCTAGGTTAACAGTTGGACCTGATGATTCTAAAGGCCTTTTCAAATTTAAACGATTCTGATTCTAAAAAAACTTTTGTTGCAGGCTTGACAATGTGTAACATAATTGCTTTCAGAAAAAATACTGAAGTAATAATCTTGACAATGAAAGCTAGGACGAATTTTGAAGGCTAAAAGATTGGTTTTCTCTTTATTTTTATCCATAACTAAATTTGATAATAAATTTCTATAGAACATGCTGTCACTTGGACGGCAAAGGCCCGTACCCAGCTGGTAGGGTTCCAACAGATTTTGTCTCCAGCCTCGGGCACTTTTGTCTTTCTGTTGTTTAGGAAAGGAAAATCAGCTGCAGAGCATAATCGAATATTTAGTATATCTAAATAAATATCAGTGCTTGAGAGAGAACTAAAAGAAACTCTGCTGCTACTAATAAAAATTACCAGCATGGAATAAGAACTTTGCAGATCTGTCCCTTTGATAAATAAATGGTACAGACATGTACATTTTTACAATTACCCTAGCAACTTGTATAATTCTGCCCAATATTTTCCACAGAATCTTAGTATTTCAGTGAAACCTTGAGTTTTGTAAAGAAGTCTGTTGCTCTGAATATACAGAAATTTACACATACAGTGAGTGCCTAAACAAACCTATAAAGTGAGATAAGGACGGATCTTTTTCCAGCTTGCTTTTTTAGATAGTTTTGGGTACAGAAGGCTTGTAAAAGTGAACGGAAAAAAAACCCAAAACATTGTCCAGGCAGACCATGCACTTTACACACCCCTTTCTGTAGGCTGTAGACAAAGCCAGCACTTTCACTGGCAGTTGGCACTGCCAGGTAATCAAGTGAAGACATACTTAAGGATGTGTACAAACATGTTTATATGCCAGAGGGTGCAATCAGCACCCCAGCCAGCCCACCATTTTAGACCTGTTCCGTCTATGTCTGAGCTAGAAGATTACACCAGCTCTGTTATGACTGCTGAGACTGATGGGTACATCTTTGAAGCCATTCCTCTGGCATCTACTCAGATTCCTGCAGATGCATTGCAACTCTTGTCACATACCTGGCTATCTACTTTCACGTTTTTAAGTTGCACATCCACCCCACCCACAGTTTGTGTCTGAGCTCAAACCAGCTCTACTACTATTGCAGTATCAACACAGGCAAGTCATAGAATCATAGAATCACAGAATGGTTTGGGTTGGAAGGGACCTTATCATCTAGTTCCAAGCCCCCTGCCATGGGCAGGGACACCCTTCACTACACCAGGTTGCTCAAAGCCTCATCCAACCTGGCCTTGAACACTTCATGGGCAATCTGTTCCAGTGCCTCACCACCCTCTGAGTGAAAAATTTCTTCCTTAGATCTAATCTAAATCTGCCCTCTTTCAGTTTAAAGCCATTGCCCCTTGTCCTATCATTACACGCCCTTGTAAAAAGTCCCTCTCCAGCTTTCCTGTAGGCCCCCTTCAGGTACTGGAAGGCTGCAATAAGATCACCTCAGAGCCTTCTCTTCTCCAGGCTGAACAGCCCCAACTCTCTCAGCCTGTCTCCATAGCAGAGGTGCGCCAGTCCTGTAGTAAAGGTGTGTATTATCATTTCATTTCAGTAGATGGTGAATCAAGAACACATGCTGAAGACTACCTTGCCTCTCTTTGCCAGATTCATCATCAGCAATGGCCTGAGGACTAAGCATGGGACATTCATGATCTCCTTGGAGGCAGTCGACCAAGCTTTGCCCACACTGTCTAGGAACATGGGGTTAAGATTAGTGGAAGGCACTATGGCACTACTTTCTCCTGATGTCCTGCAGCTTTCAGATCCAGACACTGCCAAAGAAAACCTTACCTTCCTCTTGGCTCAGCTCCCCCAATACGGTCATCTCTATTACCGAGGGGCTGTGCTACTGCAGTACAACTTCACCCAGCAAGATGTGGACAGCAGGGATGTTGCATACAAGCATGGAGGTGGGGATTCCCAGATTGACAGATTTACATTCGTTGCGACAGATACGACTAATCAAGGCTTCATCGTGAATGGGAGGGTGCAGAGCGAGCCAGTGGCATTCACCATTCAGGCAAGTGTGATCACAGGCCTACTTAAGAGATGTATAGCATGATAAGTTGGAAAATGTAGTAATTTTGATGAGAACTGGTACTTGCTGCAGTCTACGATTTAACAGAGGTATTTATCAGCTAAAATATTTGTCTTCTGTGTTCCGTGAATAATTAACCTGGAGAATTAGCTACTTGCCACAACACATTACTCAGGCAAATAATTTGATACAGGGCAAAGAGAGAGACTGTATTTAAGAGAAGAAAGACATCCTGCTTACACAAATATAAGCAAGTGTATATTTACATACTTACACTTGCTAAAATATTTTACATAGAAATCTCAACCCTAAAGTTGAGCCCACCCACGGGGAGGAACGTACTTCCTCCTGCTGTGCTTTCCCACTTGGTACCTGACCTGCCGATTTGCCTATGAGGGATACTAGGATGACTGTTATCTTCATATCACAGGAATCTTGAATTATAGCCACTTTGCTCCTGCAACTGGACTGCCTGTCTTCCTTCTGAGAGTCTTTGTAAGATGACTGCTCTGATTCTTCCTTCCTTTACTGGGATCTTTCTGTTCACTTCCCATCTCCCTCGTTTTCAAGTTCTTTGCATTGTGTCGTAGGCTCAGATGCCTTTGCTATGACTTCTTGTATGTATGTCTGGCGTGTTTTGGGGTGCAAAGCAGGCCTCATTGCATTGTATGTCAAAATTCTGTATGTTTCAAAACACTGATACTAACGAAGAGGCTCCTAACTTCTCCTGATGACAAAATTCGAAGTTATATGATGAGCAAGGCGTGCCATTTCAGCAGAAGAGGAGATGTGGGAACAGCAACAACCATTGCAGGGTGCCAGAACATTAATCAGACGTTGTGAAAGGCAACATGGATTTGAGGAGACATATTGGCCAGGGCTATGAGTGTGATTATCATAATTCTTAGGTTTCCATGCTTGTTATTGTAAAACAGAGATGAGAAAGCTTTGCTGGAGTTTTCATTTGCTATGAAGAAAACTACATCAAAACTGAAAAGGACTGTGGGGAGTGTGGGACGTCAGGGCAGAGGTACACAGAATTTGTGTTGCCCTCCCCAGTGTGTGCTATATCCCACAGCATCCAGCAAGTGACTGGGCAATCTGGGCCCAGAAACCTCTCATGGGAAGTAGTACTGATCAGATTTCTTCTGGAGCAGACTGCGAGTCAAAGTGGCTATTGCCACTCTGAGCAGGCCACTGTGCTTTTAGCAAAACTAGGACAAAGAATATCCTGTTGCTGTAAAATTAATATACTCTTGTCTAACTTTCATTTAGGTGGATCGTGTGGACAAAATGGCACCAAAAATTATTCATCTCCGTTGCTTTTCTGATGTGGAACTGCTGAAGAACGGCAATTATGGGATCTATATTACTGCCAGGTCCCTGAAGGCATCTGACCCCAATACAGAAGATGGCAAAATAATTTTTAAGATTTTACGAGGTCCTCATTATGGCTACCTGGAAAATATAACAACAGGTGCCTGTCTTCTATAATCTCTGTATTTCAGGACATAACAGACCAGATTCCAAAACCTACCCTGTTAATGTTTGTTTGATAGAGGAAATAAAAAATTTTTAGGAAATTCTGGGCAAGGTTTGAACATAGTAAGAAAGCTTTTAGATTAAATAATGAATCCTCAAAGAATTTGAGATGATGGTTAATAGCTGCTGTTGAGAAACTGTTTTTTGTTTGTGTCAAGAAAAAAAAACATGAATATTGAACTTGGCCATTTGATAAACTTGTCACATGAGAAGAAATTGGCTGGGGCTTATTAATGAGCTGGGATGTTGCCATATAGCTACAAAACCAGGTTTCTATAAGTTCAAATTTTCTAAGTGTTCAATGAAAAAGAAAAGTTGAAAACAGTCTATATGAGCTACATGGTTCTTATTAAGAGGCTTTTGATTCACCTGAATGTTTCTCTCCTTTCCCAGGTGGATTTATTCGGGAAGAGTTTAGCCAAAAGGATTTAAACAGCAAAATCATACTTTATGTCATCAATCCTTCGTGGGAAGTGAATTCAGACAACTTCGAGTTTCAAGTCACAGATGACAGTGGAAACTCCGCGGTGCCCCAAAGGTAGCTCCAACCCTCGATGGCGCACGCTGCGGTGCACTGTGAGCGCTTCCCCCCCAGGTGAATGAACCTGTGCTGGGCTTGAAGCCATGCAGACGTGAACGTAACTATGACTCAAACTGCCATTTCTTTCACTGAAGAGTAGAGAAGGTTTCTTCCCCTCAGAGAGGCAAAATACAAAGGGCTAGCTCCAGGTTAGATGTAGGCACAGTTTTCAAGGATCTTTGGGGCCTCACAGAAAAACACAATGGAGTTTATTTTAAGCAGTAGTTGGGCACCTGGAGATCCGAGATACTGGGTGCTGAGGGACGAGACCGTAGCTTCCTGTACGTGGTCTTGCAGCTGGAGGTCACTCTTGCCTTGTGCTGACGGCAACTCTCTTTTCACAAGCTTGAGATCACGATAGAGGGGATGCTCTTAAGCAGTAAAAACTATGTGAGAGCCATACTTCTGCAACAGAGCACTGAAAGAAGGTGGAAGATGCACAGCATCTTCTTTGTCATCCAAAATTTAGATTAGGCATGTTATCAAAATTTCATTGTGACATATGATAAGCCTAATGTACAAAAATCAGAGACTGAGGTGTCACCTGAACTGTGCTTTGATGATAAAGGCCGAAAGTGGGAGAAGCTCTACAGCAGGGGCAACACTTCTCTTTGTTTCTGAAAACAGCACTGAACATTCAACTGATTTATTTAACCACGATTAACCGTGAAAAATAACTAACGCTGTATTCCTGGGCTAAATGGGCTGGCTACTCACAAAGCAGGGCTTGTGGCAAGGGAAAAGGACCGGACCAGTGGTCCCAAGGGCCAGGGTCCCCTGCAGAGCACTTCCCAGCAGACTAGAGAGAAGGGGACTGAGCAGAGCTGGGAAGGCTTTTCGGCAGTTAACGTGCTGTGCCAAAAGATGTCCCTGTGCACAAATGCATCCCAAGGCGGCCAGCCTCGGCGCTTCCCCGCAGCTGCACCGTGCTGGATCATGGATGCGCTGCCATGAAAACCACCCCTAAAACGTGGCCGCTCCGCAAAGGGGAATTTGGCTTTTAAGGAAAAAATAGTGTGTTTAGTATTGGATTTAAAAGCTTGTGAGGGTTTTTTTGTTCGTTTGTTTGCTTTTGAACAATTTATCACCTAAGGCCACTCGTTCAAAATACAAGTTTTATTTGCATGTCGATATTATTAAGGTTGAATCCCAGCTTCTGTCTGAATGCTGCTGGACTATATCTGGCATATGCATCCTCTTTAATAAAAAGAAAGTAAGTCAGCTTCTAAATGGGTTGCCCACACCATGAGTATCAGAAGATTTAGGAGGACAGGAGGACACTTCCACTGATGTTAGAGACAGTCAACCCTGAAAGGTTTATGCATTTGTTTTAGAAAAGTTCAAATTGTTTTGTAAGTAGCACAGGTCATTTTCCTTCTTTCTACTCTCTTTCATTCCTCTCTGACTGACTAATTTTTATCATAGCTTTTAAAAAGGCAAGATCTTTATTGGCCGCCCTATGTGTCATGTGATCCTTGGAGGTTCAGTCACATCCCTATTAAAAAAGCTCTAAAATTCAGTGTATGAATTGCCTGGACTCAGCCACTGAGTGAAGTACACAGAGTGATAAAGTAAGAGGAGCAGGGAGGGTACTCACACAGAGGTGGTGAAGTCCTGGAGGGTGCCCCATGCTCTACAGTGCCAGAGTTAGAGGACAGACAAAGGAAGGTGAGAAGAAAACAGGATATTGCAGAGAAAATACCAGGTGGTGAAAGTAAAATAAAACTACAGGGATAAAGAGAACCAGGAAGAAACAGCAATAGCTTGACTTGGCGTATTTGGTGTTAGGGACAAACTCTGCTCTTCTCAGCACTGCTGCAGAACCCCTCTGGTTCTGAAACAAGGTTCAGGCTTGGTTTGAAGTATACCAGGGCTCGACTGGAAGATTAATTAACCACCTCTTCCTCTTTCTAATCAGCCAAATGTGTTGATTTGGAAACAAAGACTCAGTATGTGTATTGGCTAAACGAGCAGTCAGGAGAGAAATGGCTCCTCAGGGACCCTGGGAGCTGCAGGGGGTGGGGGCAGCAGGGAAGGTGGCGTTGCTTCACACCAGCTTTCCCGTGTCTCCCACAGGCTGGAGCTGCGGTGGTCCCGGATTGAAATGCAACAGACCGAATACGAAGTGTGTGAGAGCGTGGGAGCAGTGTCTCTGAGAATCGCCAGGGCAGGACACTCTGCAGAGTCTGCCTTTGTCACAGCGAAGGTAGAACGGAAAGCCAAGCTCCCAACTGGAAACTTAACAATAAATAATATGCTGTTTCAGTAACCAGCAAAAAGGCCATCAATTCAAACCAGACTTACTGGGATGTTGTAGGACAGAGGGTTGGAAAGTTTCTGACAAAACTTTCTGATTTTTAAGTAGAAATGCTGATTGACCAAAACTGGAATGTTTTGGAGCAGTATTTCCATTTTGATGACTTTCTGTGACAAAGCAGGCAGTTTCCTCTCTCACAGTGCTCAGAAGCTGGGTTTCCAGGATCTGCCACTTTAAAATCCAGGCTTTGATCAACCTGGGGCCTTGAGGCTTCTCATTTCCTTTCTCAGGCTGGAGGAGCCCAGGATCTATGGGAGCTTCAACTCCACACACATGGCAGTCTCCCCCATTTCTCCCCTGCTGACATCACCCTAGGAAATAGCCCAAGGAGCCTCCTACATCTCCAGTAACAGCCTCTGTCTTATATCAGAAAAATTAGACTGAAAGCTGCAGGGTATAATTTTGTAAAACAGGTTTTTTGCAACTTGCCTTCACAAATTTTACCCGTTTCCTCATAAAATGGAAGTTCCAGGATTTTACCAGAAAAATACTAAATGTTTCCCCCAGTTTCTCCAGATTATAACTCTAATTTCTAATTGGAAACATTGTTTGATTTTTTTTTCCACTGAAGTCAGTGGGAATTTTGCTATTGGCTTTGTCAGGGGCCATCCTGCCCTATCCTTCACAGACTCCAGTGACTCTACTTCACTAGTACCTACCTTTTCCAGGTCAGCTAAAAAGACTTGTGAGATCAATCCCAGCATCAGGAACGCAGTGTGGAAGCTGGTGTTCTCTGCCGATCTCCTACGAAAATTCAGGGAATTCCTGGAGTCCCCATACTTTTGTATGTATGCAGGGGTTCCTGCTTATCCCAACGAGTCTTTGGGGCTGACAGACAGCTCTGCATGCAAACGCTTCTTCCAAGACCTCACAAAGGGATAAATGGGCAAACGTGGCCAGGCTGCTGGTGCTGCTTTTCCAGGGTGCCTTGATGTGCCAGTCCAGGAGCCCAGTATGGCTGGGTCCCCAGGCATGGTGAACAGCAGTGTTATCTGATGCTGTCAAGTGGCAGTCTGAGAGGGGCGAGGCAATATTTTAAGACGAGAAATTTTTTTTGATGATGAGATTCAAACCATGAGTGAGGACAGAATGACAGTTGCACATCACAAGGTTTATTCTTTAGGCCTTTATCTTTTTTTCGGTCTAAGCACATATATGGATTGGCATGTCTTTTTGAGACTCCATGGAGAGCTGTACAGTAGCTTCAGCACACAGCAGAATGCAGTGGTTTGGTGAAACAGGTCACAGCATGGCATTTATGGTTTGATTTCTTCTCAGGTCAAGGAAATATCTGCTATGCTGGGAAAGGACTTCACAGTGACTCCCTCCAAGCTTGTTCAGTTTGATCCAGGTATGAACCAATGTACTGAATAATTTCAAAATTAATTCACTGATTTTGAAAATGTAAACTCTCATTTTGGAGAGTGAAAACTATTACATATCTGAAGCTAGAAGAGCTGAATAGGATTAAAGACACTTGGGCTCGTTTTCTGGAAGTGCAGTTAGCTTTCTTTGTGAATTAATATCCTTATTACTTAGGGTGAGATGGGTTATGGTTCCTTTACATCAGTTAAAATATCAAAAGTGCTGAAATGATGCCTCCTAATCTCCTCACAGCTAGGCTGGGGAGGACTTACCCTGAGCTGAGCTGTGAGATGCTTTAAAGATTTGAAACTGAGTACAGCTTAAGTTATGCGATTTATCCAAGACCAGAAAGGTGCAAAAGAACCTCACGACTGTCAGACACCATCTCTGCTTGCTCTGTAATCATAACAGCCTGACCTCGGCTGAGGTGGTAAATAGCAAGAAATGATAATAACTATATTATCAAAAGGAGCTTGATTTTTTTCTTCTGGAGGAGAATCAATAGTAAAAATGAATACAAATGTGAAGATACTGAAGATACTGAAAAAAGCTTAATTTGTCCTGCACAATTTATTATTATTATGCTTTGGGTATCTCACTGGGTCTAGGTAAAAAACAGTCCAGGTGAGAGTTTCACAATTTACCATTCAGTACTTCAGCTTCATCTGAAAAATTGTTTTTGCCCATATAAATACTTTATCTGGGAATGAAAACCCATTTGCTAACATGATCACTTCCTTCGCATATGCAAGTCTGAGGGTTTTTTTGAACATGTGGTGTTGGCATAGTTCAAGATTTATTTGAGTTTAGAAAATGGTGTCCACACAGGCCTCCCAGGATGTCACCTGCAATGCCAGCAGAGATTATCCCAAGATTGCCAGCAAAGAGATTTCAATGGCAGAAAGTCACAGTGACTACAGAGCAGACCAAATATATCATCTGTCAAAGGCTGAAATAAATGGCATGCATTTGATGGTAAAAATTAGTTTCAGTGCTTACCTGCATTTGAAAAACAGATATGGGGAATATGATAAGTCAGCTCCAGCCAAAGCCTGGGGATTTTTACTTTAGGATTTAAGGTTTCTATTTTGAAAAAAGGCTGCAGAGATTATGTAGCACTGCATCGCATGGATGCACTCATATATACCCTAGCTTTGCTTGGCTATGCCATAGGAAAACTTGTAGCTTCAAGTCCAGTGAGAGTCACAAATCTGAGTATTTTGCAAACATGCCACTACAGCCATCTTGAGAAAGTAAAATTTTACGTAAATGTGTAGAATGAGCAACTGCTGGTTAGTTTTCAGAGGTGGATGAGGGAGGACACCCAGCAGACAGCAGTAAAAAACAGCTGGGCAGAAAGGTGGAAATCTGCCCTAATTTCCAGTGTTTCTGGAACACACATGAAACCCCTGAAACTAATGTGCCACTCCCTGAGACCCTTTATCTAGCATTAGATTTTTTTTTGTTGTTGTTTTAAATTAGAAGATAGAAGGAAGATTTGAGAGATCAGTGTAAAAAGTAAAAAGTCCTTCCTACTGTGCTGCCCAGGACTCCAGCACTCTTTCTTCTAATGTACTATGCAGTCAAGCTTACCAGCCTCTGTACTGAAATGGCTAGAGACTGTTGGAAAGAGATTTTTAGTGCAAGGCCCTTTACTAGAATTTCCTTATTCTGCTGGTCCATGCAGATTCTCCAAGCATGGAACGATTTGGAGTCACTGCTATTGTATTGCTGAATATGGTGGTAAGCCACATGAAAATGAACTGTGAACATGGACAGGAGAGAGGCACACTATTCCGCTTTTCCAGCCAGCTTCTCAGTTAATCCAGCCAAGCTCCTTCACATAGGCTTTTTGGGGTGGCTCTCTTCAAAAGTCCTTTGCTTAGGCTTAACTTTAGGTAAGGACCCTCCAAACTGTTACATTCAAGGTGTCAGTTTCTTAGTTCTAAATACAAGATGTTTGATATGTATTAATTAGTAGTATTTATTAATTATTTCGTAAGGCTGATAGGTTTGTTTTAGAAACAAACCTCAGCTATGCTAATTAACTGGACCGACCTGCACATTAGACTGCAATCAAAAAATTTTAATAGAAAGGAGCCGAAGATGTCCCTGTCCAAGTTTATGGGTCTGTACTGACAGCGTCTCTTGGCTGGAGGATTCATACTGGAAAGAGGCAAGGAAATAGAGATTATGCAAGGTGCCATAAGGATGCAGAGATTTTTTTTTACTATGTCGCACATGTATCTTTGGTACTAAATTTTGGACATTAGCACTGACGTTGTGATGCAGAAACAGTTCCCAAGATGTTTTGTTGACAGCAATGTGTACATTAAGATCTGTTTCTGTCCTGCTGCCTCTGACTTTTCCTCACCAAATTTTGTAGCCTTTTGGGTAATAACCAGCCTAGTCCTTTATCTTGGAATGATCTTTTCCCATTCCCATAATGCAAGCCTGAAGTTACCTGAAGTAAAGGCAAGCAGCCAAGCAAAAATTTTGTAACGAAGTATAAAATCTGCCTATAAGGTTGTAGTTGAATCTAACACAGTCTTTGATCCTTTTGCAGGTATTTTAAATAACCGTTCCATCGCTGAAGTTAAGCTTTCAAGATAGAAAGCATCTGATGTTTTCTCTTGAAAATTGCAAAGAAAGTCCTAAATCTATGAATTGTAGTGTCCTTTCCCACATCTACAGCTGCTTTTTGTTACACTTGTATGCGCTTGAAATGAATCATCATTGCCCAGGAACAAATTCAAACTTAATGTTATTTGGGAGAACTGCAGGAGTCCAGTCAGTTGGTAGGAGCACAATAGCATACACCAGCTACGCCATTCTAGCTGCAGACATGTTAATTAATATATTTCTTTGACACCCTGATTGATTGAAATAGCACTTAAAGAGTAATTAAGATGTTTATTTCTGTTAGGAATGTCAACCAAGACGTGGAATATAGCAATTACCTATGATGGATTAGAGGAAGATGATGAAGTCTTTGAAGTAGTTCTGAACTCCCCTGTGAATGCTGTTCTTGGCACCCGGACAAAAGCTGTAGTGAAAATTTTGGACTCAAAAGGAGGTATTCTCTTTTGATGTTCATTGTTAAGTAGGTGGGACAATCTTGGCTGAGTAGCTGCTTATTTTCAACCACAACTTGTTCCTAACACTCACCTTCAGATCAAAACGCTTAATTTCTTTTTAGAGAAAACAGGCTTGACAGTTGCAGACCCTTTATTCTCTCACACAATCATATTCATCCTCTTAGGAAACACAGCATGGAGAAAGCAACAAGTACAAAATGAGAAGGGAGCAAGGAAAGAAACCACTTTTTGTAACAACACGAGTTCTGTTCTCATTTATTAAAGTAAGAAAGAAATGTGGTTTAGGTCCATTAGAATGTTTTCTCTGTTATTGTATAGCAGTTGTCATACACCTCTGAAAAAGATTTATTTTCCTCTCCAAAAAGAAACATAATGACTAAACCCAGCTCTTATAAATACATTTTCTAATGCTTAACAAACGCAGTCCACAACATTACAGCACACAGCAGTGATTATTCATTATAGAGTTTAGGCTTTTATATCTGCATTATTATTGTGTTTTTCAGTGATCAAATGTGGTGCGCCTAAAATCATACCAAAAAAGAAACAACTGTAGAAAACCACAAATAACTAGCAATGCAGCCGAGTCCTCTGACAGCTGAAGAGTGTTTTTTTTTTTCCTGGTGCTTAGTGAAACACTATTTTAAATACCTGTGTTGAAAGGAATTAGGTTCCATTTTGCAAAAACTCATTTTAAAATTTCAGATCTATTTTCTCTTTAACATTCATAATGTAAATCAGCAGTCAATTGACACTAGTTTGTAGGAACAATAGTGTCCTGGATTTCTGAAAAGAAAATTATCTGGGCATGATGGTATCTGTATCACCAACATTAGTTAAACATACCTGTCTACCCATGACCAAAAAAACAGCATGCCAAACCCCAATCTATGCATGAAAACAGGTATTTCCAGCAGATGCTTGGTTGAAATTCTCATCTGTGGATAGACAGATGCGTTACATATGAAAACATACACACACAGGTAGTAGTGGCAGCCATAGTCATAGCAAAACCCACAAATCAGGATAACAGAACAAACAGCAAATCAACCACATCAAGTGAAAGAATCATCCAGCTTTTAACAAGAAGCTGTTTATGTGCCCATGTCAACGTGACCAGTTATCTGCTCATGCAGTTAGAACTGACCATCTGCCATTTTTTATGCTTTCAGGTCAGTGCAGATATTCCCATTCTTCTGGCCAAGGCAAGCACGACTTCTGGGGTAGAGGCATACTGTTTCCAGTTTCCTCGGGCTCCTCATCACTTCCCAGGCCTGGCACTGCTCCCTTGGAAGGAATCCCACTGCCTCCTTCCAAAGGGATGAGAGAACATGGAGGGGACCCGTGGCAGGAACACAGCTTGGCGAATCAGTCAAGGACCACGCTGAGAGTGACTGGAAATGGCAGAATGGTAAGATGCTTCTGTAGTGCAGTGATAGACTGCTTGGTGAATTAATTGGGATTTGATATCTTATCATAGAATCATAGAATCATAGAATCATAGAATCATAGAATCATAGAACAGTTTGGGTTGGAAAGGATCTCAAAGATCATCTAGTTCCAACCCCCTGCCATGGGCAGGGACACCCTCCACTACACCAGGTTGCCCAAAGCCTCATCCAACCTGGCCTTGAACACTTCAGGGATGGGGCAGCCACAACTTCTCTGGGCAACCTGTTCCAGTGCCTCACTACCCTCTGAGGGAAAAATTTCTTCCTCAGATCTAATTGAAATCTACCCTCTTTCAGTTTAAAGCCATTGCCCCTTGTCCTATCACTACACGCCCTTGTAAAAAGTCACTCCCCAGCTTTCCTGTAGGCCCTCTTTAGGCACTGGAAGGCTGCAATAAGATCACCCCAGACCCTTCTCTTCTCCAGGCTGAACAGCCCCAACTCTCTCAGCCTGTCTTCACAGCAGAGGTACTCCAGCCCTTGGATTATCTTCATTGAATCTTCGTTTAATCTTCATTTAGTTGTCATATTTTTGTAGTGATCTTACCTGACCATACAACTACCAGAGTTTGCTTTTAGTTAGACCTGAGAGCTATTTAAAAATACTGATGGTGGTGGTGCTAATTTTAAAAAATCCTAATTTTGAAGATCCATGTATGCAAGAGAGGAAGAAAAACTCAAAAAGAGTTGAGGGATGAAACATGCATCAAGCAACTTCGGCAATTATGCAGCTTCTAATCTTGTCTGAATTATGGGTCAGCTAGAAGAAAGGAGTCACTGGAGTCAGGCCAATGCATAGAAGATGTGCATCTGCTCCCAAAGGTGTAAAGCTGAAAATACTGTTAATTTAATCAGGGAACAGTTACTTAAAACTTGCCCATTGCTTTTTCTGCCTAAGTGACATTGATTTAACTTGGCTGTTGAGGGACATTCCACTACTGTGATCTTACAAGTTAAGGGAATCTCCTTATAAACATACTTGTGTGTTTTTTTAATGGCTGTTTTCAGAGGTGATCAATTTCTCTTCTGAAAGAGAAGGAACTAAACCCAAGATATGTTCTGCATGATTTGCAACCTAGATCTTGCAGTAAATCTTGTATAAAGTCTTTTTGTTTCTATAACGCATGAATATGCCCATGTCATTCTGCTGTTCTACCTTTTTCAGGTTCATCCTTCATCTGTATTTAGAAATGGAACTGATGTGGTTTTCAAAGTAAGAGTATTATGAGTATTGCTCAGACATTTCTGCGATTTCTTTCTGATTCTGTTCTTTGCAGGCTTTATCACTGTTAATAATTCATTATGAGCAATACTTTATTTTTCTATGTATCTTTCTTTTTCTTTGGTGTCACTTCCCCTTAATTTGCAAAAATTTGTATTAGAATGCCTTTTTTTTTTTTGATGGAGTTTATTTAAGAGACGCTTGTACGTGCTTACCCTCTCTTTCCCGCTCCTGTTCTGCTCGTGTGTGTGTGTGATACTGTAAAACGCAGTATCACGGGATGGTATCACTCAAAATAGAGGATGACACCTCATCAGCTAAAGCAAACAAGAAGGCTCAAGTGTCAGTAATTAACCAAGCACAGCCACAGATAAATGTCGTCTCCTCTAGGAAGACAGACATCCCACAAGCTGATAAGGCAGAACTGGCATCTGAACCAAGCTCAAGACCTCAGGTACAAAACCTTTTGTTTCACAGGCATTTTCACCATCTGTTTTCAGTCATGCTGTTTTCCAAAATGATTTAACACCTCTGAGATCTGCAGCCCAACCCTGCTCACTGCAAAGCTGAGTTTAACCTACACGCAGATAAATTAAAAACTCAGACCTTGAAGAGTTCTTATGTCACAAAGGTTTAATATAAGACCTGTTTAATCTGTTTCACGTAGCTTGTTTGTTTTGTGTAATTATTTTCCCTCAACTGTTCAAACAACATTTCTCTTTCCAGGACTCCTACTCTTTTCCAAAGGCCTGTACACCAGATTTAAAGGGGCTCTTGCATTACGAAGAAAGCACTCAAAAGTTATTTCAGTGTGATGGGATAATATGGAAATTCTGGAATTCCCAAAGCAAGGTAAAAGCGTTGCCATAAGCATGCATCTAAATCAGAGCACGGACTCACGATGAGTGAGTCTCTCAAGCAAAGGACCATCCTGCAACAATTATCAACTCGTACAGGGAATAAAAGATTTGTCCAGAGCCAAGTTTGCTGTCAGCAGAAAAAAGGATTCCCAGAGACATGATGAAGGCTTGATTGCTGAGGTTGCCTTTCCTCTCTGTCACCTGTAGGTGCTCCTAGACAAACCACACAAATACTGATGCTTTGGTGCTTGTGGGGATGTGGGCATGAGACAGTCAGTGAATGAAGTCTGTGAGAAAATGAGTGGGAGTCAGTAAAATTAGCTCGCTCGGGTATTTGGTAAACATGCACTCCCTCCATCATGTAGG